CGTTCCAAGGACCATTTTAGCAAATGTCCATGTGGTGTATTCATTTTCAAATATAATTATTTTAGATGTTTATTTTTAAAAAGTAATTCACTACTACTTGACGATCCAAATATTTATAAAGTATCCATAAGAGTTTATGAAGTTTTCTAAGGTATTCATAAGGTATAATATATAAAAGTAGTTGTCAGGAAAAAAAAAACTATAAAAGCAGTTTTGTAACTTTTTTTTGTTGATAATTTAGGTGATTTTAAAGGTTTTTTTAACATTAATCCTGAATCCCGAGAAATTATATATATTTCGAACCCCAGTTTTGTATACTTTTATAAAGTTACCTCAGTTTGTAGAATGATTATCCGTTCAGCCTCTACTTTTAGTTTCTGCACAAATCATAATGTTAGGCAGCCTCCTCCATCTCTGTATCCTCCGCCATCCCTGCATGATCCTTCATCTCTAATTCTTGCACTAAAACTCCCACGATCGAACTGACGAGTTTGAGTCAAAAAGGGAATTAGTCATCTAGGGCACGAGTTTGGCTAACGAAAAAAAGATCTTTACCATACGAGAAAGGTTTAATCAAATCAACCTAACACTTCATAAGCCGAGTTCAATCCTCGCATCACCTAAGCCGAGTTCAAATCTCGCATAAATTACCGAGGTAACCGATATAGTTATCTTTTAAACGATAAGGGCTTGATCAACCTAACCCTCTTTAAAGCGAGACTCAGTTCTCGTAATTACAACATCAGACTTTGTAAATCCGATTCTCCAAGGTCCTATCCTCATAGTCAAAACGAAAAACTCGTAACATACTCTAAATATCATGCGAAAATTTTATAAATCGGTGGCATTAAACCACCTAAGGCTCAAAATATCCCCTTGGGTAACCAACGTTTGCTACAAATTCTCAAGAGTAATACTTGGAAGGAGCATATTCGGTGTTCTCTCTAGCTCGCGACACATATGTCGATTCCGCCTTGCAAATCATTTAACTCGAGCTCAGCTCTCATGTGTAAGGCGAGTTCAGTTTGTAATCACTATACCTAAGATCTTCTCACGACGTATTCGCTAGGTTCACCTCACAACTACTTAGTCCGAATTCATCTTCGACACCATTACAAGAATATTAGTTCTCCGAGCAAATAACATTACTCGAAGAACTAGAGGGTTTATGTTGATACCGGATCCCGCACCAAGGATCCATCCGACGAATCGGAGGTCCATCTCATTACAAAGCCCAAGAAGGTCAATCTTGCAAAAGGGAGGTGGTCAAATCTAGATATTAATTTAATTTGTGATTCAATTTATGAATTAATTTGTGATTCAATTTATGAATTAATGGTCATGGTCAAAGGAGTAAACTTGTCATTCAAGTTTATAAATTGATTATGGGAGTTATTTTGTGAGTAAATTCTGAAATTTACGGCCAAGTAAAGACACTTAAGAGGAAGGAAAGGGCTATAAAAGAATGGTGAAAACTCCATGTAAAGAGACTCCATCTTCAACATTTTTTACTACCATTTTAGACGTACAATATAGTGTTACTAGACCATGATCCGTACTACAGCACGGGTTGAATTTTATTTAGTACAAAATTATATATTATATATTTTAGAATAAAGTATTGATATATTATAGTAGTATGTAAAAAAATATTAATTTTTATTGTCAGTTCCGATTTATAATATTAGAATAAATATATATTTTTTATATTTAATACTTAAGTATAGATAATTTTCTTCAGATATGAAAATGGAAAGTAATATTATTTTTAAAAAAATAATATTGTTTGAACAATGAGTTAATTTATGTTTTTTTTTGTTAGAAAGCTAATTTCATTAATTAGACTTGGACTGCGTACAAAGAAACAAAAGCAGAAGAAAGAGAGACAAGAGCAGCTTTTGCAAATCATCAGCCCTGCGATTTTTCTCTCGAGGGATGAAGGAAAAGCTTACTTCTACAAACATTGAAGATAATAAAAGGATGTCGTGAAGAATCCCGTGAAGCTCTTTCGGATGAGCTCCCAAATTAATTGCTTTGATCAACTGTTGTGAATCTGAAGCAAAAGAAGTTTTTGTGAAACCAAGATCTATGGCTCGTTGGATAGCTAGGTGAAGCGCCAAAGCTTCAGCCAATAGGGGAGATTTCACGTTTTTGGCATTGGAGCTGCCCTGGGATTCAGTCTCGTGAAGATGATCAATGAAGAGCCACCCAAATCCCGCATCTTTGGTTTCCTCGCGCCATGCCGCATCATAGAAATTTATGTTAACAACCACAAAATGAGATTGCATATAATTCAGGTAGATCAAAAATCGAAATATCATAAATGAGTGGCATCTAAAGCGTAGAAAATTTTGAGTTAATTAAGGGTGTTAGCTATTTTAAATTTTAATTATTTGGTTGTTGAAATCAAGATTTGTTTTTGCTAATTACGAAATTTAGCAATTATTCGCATAATTGAATATGTTATGAACATATTTTTGGTATATAATAATACTAATTTCAACCCTTGCGTGGAGTTTATATATTCATTTTAGAATCTCAATGAAGACATTGCGTGCACATTCCATCATTCTTTATTTTCAAAATTGCTTGCAAAATTAAATTTTTAAACATTGCGTGCACAATCCATCACTCTTTGTGTATATATATATATATATATATTAATATAGCCCATATTTTCATCTCTTTATTTTCTTTGTCGATTTATATTAGTTATTTAAATCATCTTTGTGCTTTTCTCATGAAAACTTTATCCCATCTTTTTACATTGTGAATCAAATCTATCCGAATTATATGCCCATTTTTGAAAAAATGCACACCAAAATAGACATTTTTAAAAAATTCTCTAAATCGGCTGCATTTAATATCCTACAACGAGTTAGCAAAAAGTGTAAGTGTTTGTAGAAGTGATATCTTATTCATTCACAGAGGAGACTATATATACAAGAGGGAGTGAGCTAGGGTACACAAATGTAATCAATGAGAGTATATACGATATTACATATATGAACCCTTGACATAAGCAATCAAAGATAATGAGACAATCAAGGATATGATTGATATCCTTAATTAATACGCCCCCTCAAGATGGAGGTACTCTTGTAACTCCAATCTTGCTTGAGAAATTCTGAAATGCTGCCCTTGACAATGGCTTCGTTAGTGTGTCTGCAAGTTGGTCGTGCGTAGAGACATGGACAACACGAAGAGCTCCAGATTGTACTTGGTTTCGGATGAAATGATAATCCAATGCTATATGCTTCATTCGAGAACGGAACACCGGGTTTGCACAAAGATAGGTAGCTCTCACATTATCGCAATAGATCACCGATGGTTTTGAGAGACATATACCTAGTTCAACTAGTAATGAACAAATCCATTGCAGCTCGGAAGAAGTATTGGCAACCGACCTGTATTCAGCTTCCGTGGAGGAGCAGACTACACCTTTTTGCTTTTCAGATGACCACGAGATAGGATGATTCCCGAGATAAACAATGTAACCATTTGTTGAGACATAATCATCAGAATCACCTGCCCAATATGCGTCCGAGTACGCATGTAATGATAGTGTGTTGCCTTTCTTGAGGAAAATACCATGATCCGGAGTGCCAGCTAAGTATCGGAGAACCCGTTTCAACGCTTGCCAATATTCTGTTGTCGGCATATGCATATATTGTGATAACCGGTTTACCGCGTAGGAGAGGTCGGGACGAGTGAAAGCTAGATATTGTAAGCTTCCGACGATGCCTCTGTATTCTGTCGGATCTGGGAGCTTAGTACCCGAATGGAGAGTCAGTTTTGGTGATGTAGCCATTGGCGTCGTCGCGGGTTTTGCGGTGAGCATATTTGTTTTTGAGAGGAGGTCCAATACGTATCTCCGCATAAACAGAGATGTATCGGAGACGGAATTGACAAAACTGACAGCTTGAAGATAGTCCCTTAATTCAACATACCAGGCGTGTGGAGCTTGTTTAAGGCCATAGAGTGCTTTCCGGAGTCTGCAAACGTAGTTGGGTCGATCCTTATCGACAAATCCTGGCGGTTGCGACATATAGACCTCATCGGTTAACGTTCCTTGTAGAAACACATTGTTGACGTCTAATTGCCGTATAGGCCAGGAGCGATCAACGGCAATACCCAAGACTAGTCGGATGGAGGTGGATTTGATGACAGGGCTGAAAACGATTATTAACGTTACTTGGTAACGATACTTCCGGCAAGCTAGAAGTATTCTCGGATGGAGGTGGATTTGATGACAGGGCTAAGCTTGGTAACGTTACTCATGTTAACGTTGAGTAGGGTTTTGTGTTGAGAGCAACTTCTTCAGGGATGGCAGCCATCGAGATTGAGAGAAGAAGAGCGATTTAGCGAGAGAGAAAGAGACGAAAGAAAACAAAAAACAAGTTGTAAGTGTCTATGGATCAAAAGCTGCTGATACAAGTGTTTGTAGAAGTGATATCTTATTTATTCACAGAGGAGACTATATATACAAGAGGGAGTGAGCTAGGGTACACAAATGTAATCAATGAGAGTATATACGATATTACATATATGAACCCTTGACATAAGCAATCAAAGATAATGAGACAATCAAGGATATGATTGATATCCTTAATAAAAAGTAGTTACAACTTCAATTGTTTTTTTAAGGGCTGCATGTAGGTGACATTCTATACTATAGTCACTCAACTAGAATCACCCTATACTATTGTATTCTACCCAATTCACCCTATACTAACTAAAATCTTCCCAAATCGACCTAATCTTCTTATTTCTACTTATTTCTACTTATTTCAACAAATTCAATCAATCCACTTAATTGCGTTTAAAAATCATAATATCGCGATTACTGTACCGCGATTATATTAAATCGAATTTAAAACCCATAACCCGAATTGAAACCTTCTTTCTGAGTAAGAGGTTTTGCGATTTCTGGTTTTAAACCCAAATCGAATTGGGGAAAAATGAGAAATAAGGTTTTCTTCTTTCTCGAGACCGCGCCTTCTTCTTCTTCTCTGCTTCTTCTCTCTGCTTTTTTTTCTTCTTCTTCTTCTTCCTCGTCGTCTCCAGGCATATCGATTTTGCTAACCCAACAAAGATGTCTTAAACCCAAATCGACCACGCGACTCGCCTTCTTCTTCTTCTCTTCTTCTTCTTCTTCTTCTTCTTCCTCGTTGTCTCCAAGCATATATATCGATTCTGCTAACGTTACAAAGATGTCGTAAGTTTCTCTCTTGTTATCGATTCAGTTATAAAAGTTGAAGTTGTTTATTTTTGAAATTTGTGGGAATATGGGTGATAAGTTGTTTCTGAATACTTTTTGTTCATTAGCTGCAAAATCTCTCATCTTGGTGCTCGTAAAAATCAGCATCTCTGTTTTTGATCAGACATGTTAGCTCATTAAGACGTGTGATCTTGATGATGATGTTTTGGTTTTTGTTTTGAATTAAATGTTTGTAAGAGTTTTGGTTTTGTTCGTAAGAGTCTTGGTGCTCGTAAGAGTTTTGGTTTTGTTCTTTGAATTAAATGTTTGTTCGGAAACTTTACAGGCTTCTGTTTCTCTATTTCTTGTCTTTTTTATTTTTCTCATTGAAAAATAAAGATTCTAATTCCCATTGTGCTCGTGCAGCTTCATGGTGCACATGTGGTTTTTCTAATCTAAATCAAATTGAAATTGGACTCGATTACAGAGGACTTAGTCTTACAACAACTTGAGCAATCAAAATCAATACTACATAGCTTTTTTTTTTTTTTTTTTTGTTACTGGTTGAAATGCAAATACTTGGAGTATGTTTATACTTTGGATATAACAGAGAGATGATGATGTTTTTTTTTTTCAAATGGTAGTGACGGTTCGCAATCAGAGAGTGAGAATGGGAGTGTTGATGAGAGGGACATATCCAACAGTGATGTGGAGAGTGACAGATCCGAGATTGAGTCGCAAATTGAAGTTTTGCGTTTCTTAACTTCATCTTAACTAGGTTTTAAGTTGTGGAGAGTGAAGTTTTTGCGTTTCAGTGACGGATTCTGTTTTGCGTTTCTTAACTTCATCTTAACTAGGTTTTAAGTTGTGGAGAGTGAAGTTTTTGCGTTTCAGTGACGGATTCTGTTTTGCGTTTCTTAACTTCATCTTAACTAGGTTTTAAGTTTTTACTGACTACTTTTGGTATTAGCTTCAAACTGAAGCAAAGAAAGCTAAGAAAGACAATAAGGCTAAGGAGAAGGAGATAAAGACTAAGAAGCCGAATAAGACTAAGAAGGATAAGAAGACTCAAGGTCAGGAGACGATCTCAATCACACAACCGTCTCAAGCAACACAAGAGTAGTTTGGTTCTGTTCTATGGTAAATGGCAGTTGCATGTGTTGTCTGGTTTTTTAGACTTGCTTTTAGATTAGATGTCAACAACATTATTTTCCATTCAGATGTGTTTTGTTTTTAGCTAAATTCGGATCTGTGTTGGTTTAAGACTAAATCTGCTGTGTTTTTGCTGTTTAGACTAAATTAATTTGGAGCTTTTAAACTAAATTGGTTGTGTTTTGCTTTTGCTTCTTTTTGATTTTCAATGCAACTTTCATTACAAAACATCACAAAACAATGTGTGACTTAGCATTGATGTATAAAACAGTGTCTTGTATCAAACAGTATGTGACGTAGCATTGATGTATAAAACAGTGTTTTGCTCCAGTTTAAAAGAAGAAGTGTTCATTATGTGAATAGAATTGTTTCACTTACAAAGCAGTGAAGTTGTTAAGTGGAGCTGGATTGATCTAGGATCTTTGGTTCGTTGCTTCAGTTTGTTTGATTCAAAGAGTGAATAAATAGATAGAAAGTCTGTAAAGTGTCAAAAAACGGTAACCACCAAAGCACTATAAAGTGTTTTGACTTACCATTGAACAACGTTTTATTAGTCTTCAGTCAGAAAAGAAAACATAAACACCTATGCAGTCAGAAAGAGATTACGAGTTCAAAAAATGGCATCTGGGTTCGCATTTTCTGTTACACAAGTGTTCAATGATCATAACAATCAGGATACGGAATTTGTGCTGAAGAAACATTAGACTCCAAGCAGTTTTCTCTATACACCAATATGCCATTGAAAACGCTTTTTTATTTACTGCTCCTTCTTCATAACCTACAAATCAAGTAGGTGGAATTGAGAATATACACATAAGCAAAAGAAAAAAAAACATGAGCTGAAGATAACTCGCTCATGGTTCAAATCAACTCTCGGTATCAAGAAATAAGAGACATTCGCGAAATGAAGAGAAGAAGAAGAAGAAGCAGAGAGAAGAAGCAGAGAAGAAGAAGAAGGCGTGAAAGAACCCTAATTTCTAATTTTTTCCCCAATTCGATTTGGGTTTAAAACCAGAAATAGCAAACCTCTTACTCAGAAAGAAGGTTTCAATTCGAGTTATGGGTTTTAAACTCGGTTTAATATAATCGCGGTATAGTAATCGCGATATTATGATTTTTAAACGCAATTAAGTGGATTGATTGAATTTGTTGAAATAGGTAGAAATTAGAAGATTAGGTCGAATTGGGAAGATTTTAGTTAGTATATGGTGAATTGGGTAGAGGATAATAGTACAGGATGATTCTAGTTGAGCGACTATAGTATAGGATGTCACCTACAAGCAGCATTTTTTTAAATATTATTATTTTTATTTCAAAATAATAAAAAATATATAATAAAAGTTACTTCTTGTCAACTTTTAATATACATTAGAACATTAGAAAAAGCTCTAGATAAGTGATGAAAATGTAATTAATTCATGTATTTTAGTAAAAATGGCTAAATAGTAAGTAATTTATGAAATTTCCTTTTTGTTAAATGATATCTTCACCAGCTATGGATATTCATGTCGTTAAAACAGATGGAAATTTTTATTTCATGGTTAATTTTTAATAGACAACTAAACAAAGACTTTTTTTTTTAATTGTTTTCAAAGAGCAACAAATCGCCTTTTGATAATGGTTAAATAGTAAGTAAATTTTTTTTTATGAAATTTCCTTTTTGTTATATGATCTTTACCAGCTATAGATAATCATGTCGTTAAAACTCATAGAAATTTCTATTTTCTGGTTACTTTGTAATAGACAACTATACAAAGACTTTTTAGAAAAAAATTGTTTTTAAAGAACAGAGAAGAAGTCGCCTTTGGATAATGTGGTGCAAAGCATGATCATGTGGTTAATTAGGATACATGGAATTGTTTTAATTTCTATGGTTAAGTTTTCATTGAGCAAATAAACGAAAACGTTCTTTTTTTTACGATAAAGACTTTTTTTTTAATTTCAAATAAAAATGAGAAGTTTTTTATTTTATCATATGATATAAGATTATTTATAGTCATGTGAAGTACAAAGCACGGAAACAAACATTGCCATCGAAATCCTAGATAAGTAATAGAATTTTGTTTGGAAACAAAAGGAATCTTCGTTTTTACGGGCTTGACTGGCTTAAACACAATTGATGCAGTTATGATTTTTATGAAATTTTCTTTTGATAATGGTTAAATAGTAAGTAAATTTTTATGAAATTTCCTTTTTGTTATATGATCTTCACCAGCTATGGATAATTATGTCGTTAAAACCCATGGAAATTTATATTTTCTGGTTAATTTTTAATAGACAACTAAACAAAGACTTTTTTTTTTAAATTATTTTTAAAGAACAAAGAAGAAGTCGTCTTTGGATAATGTGGTGCAAGGCATGATCATGTGGTTAATTAGGATGCATGGAATTGTTTTTATTTCTATGGTTAAGTTTTCATTGAGCAAATAAACGAAAACATTTTTCTTTTAAAACAAAGACTTGTTTTTTTAATTTCAAATAAAAATGAGAAGTTTTTTTTTTTTATCATATAATATAAGATTATTTATAGTAATGTCAAGTACAAAGCACGAAAACAAACATTGCCATTGAAATCCTAGATAAGTAATAGAATTTTGTTTGGAAACAATAAGAATCTTCGTTTTTACGGGCTTGACGGTCTTAAACACAACTGATGTATTTGTGATTTTTATGAAATTTCCTTTTGATAATGGTTAAATAGTAAGTAAATTTTTATGAAATTTCTTTTTTTTTGTTATATGATCTTCACCAGCTATGGATAATCATGTCGTTAAAACTCACACAAATATATATTTTCTGGTTAATTTTTAATAGACAACTATTCAAAGACTATTTTTTTAAATTGTTTTTAAAGAACAAAGAAGAAGTCGCCTTTGGATAATGTGGTGCAAGGCGTGATCATGTGGTTAATTAGGATATATGGAATTGTTTTATTTCTATGCTTAAGTTTTCATTGAGCAACTAAACGAAAACTTTTTTTTTTTAACAACTAAAACACTTGCATGAAATATTTTTGGAATTCAGCGATTTCGAAATATCTAAAGCAGTGCGGAACAATTTGAAGCGATTTTTATAGTATGCTATAAATATTAACAACCGCAAATGTCCGTAAAAGTAGCGTTTGTGTATAGTAGAGGAGGAACCGATCAAATTTTATATATGGCAAGTTGGCAACACATTTTATTATATAAAGTATGATTTTCAAAGTTAGTAACTTATAGGATTGTGCCACGTGTCACGTCTATTGATCAGATGTTGACATGTGTTCGAAAAGAGTTAACTTTTTTTTTTTTAGGAAATAGAAAAACTAGAAAAGGAAACAAATTTATATATACTAATTTATATGTCTATATCTAAAAAATATTATTTTTCTTAACCAAAAGGAAAATTAACAAATTTGTTTTTACATGTGCTATTGGTCAATTTAATTTAGCAAATATTAATTTTTTTTAAAAAAAAATTAGTGTGGATAATAACTAATTAAAAAGGCCATTGAAGTTTAAAATAACAATATAATTTATTTATCATTAATTTAGTTGGATCAAATTGTATGTATCATTGTAATATAGTGTTTTCATTCGTGAAATTTTTTAAAACAAATTAATGAGCTTATGAGAATAAATTTTTGAATACTTATGTTTTATTCTAAGAATTTTAACGCATCCTATGATGGAGGGGCTTGCATCCTTTGATGTATTACCACAAGCTTATACTTATGTTTTATTCTAAGAATTTCAACGCATGTAGTCATAAATGAAAACAAAAATTGTTTTGGGAAAAATACCTTATAGGATTGACTTTTCAATACTTAATGAGAAGTTAGTATTTTTTGTTTAATTTTAACTCATTTAAAATTAGTTTGCATGAGGTAAAATTAACTTACTAGATTACGCCATATATAAAAAGAATTATATTTTAAACAATGTTTGTTTTTCAAATATTTTTGTGGATTTCTGTTTTTTTATTAATTATATTTTGTTAGTTGTTAATTATTTTTAATATTAACTAAGATATATATTTGATCTGATATAAATATTATTTTGATATAAAATTGTTATAACTTAAAGATGAAGTGTGTAGAATTATAATCGAGTTTAGTATGATGAAATAGATAGTTAAACTGTATTGCAAAATTCAAATATTATCGTTAAAAATTTACATTTATATCTTACACCCGCCTTTTTAGGCGGCCTTTATCTAGTTAATATAATAATAATCAACACATCAATGACAAGTATATACCAAGACTTTAGAGTTTAGACGAGAGTTGCGGGTCAACTTGTAATTGTGCCATGGGTCTCTAAAGTCTAAAGTTATCTCGAAACAAACCCAATCAGACCCGATAGTTTTCAGCCATGGCCGGATCATCCACGGTCGAAGAACGGCCCCCGCAACATCTAGTGTTCATCAATTTTCGTGGGGCGGATATACGCTTTGGATTCGTCAGCCATCTCGTCGAAGCCTTCAAAAAACATAAAATTAATTTCGTTTACGACGACTATGAAGACAGAGGCCAACCCATAGAAATTCTACTGACGAGGATAGAGCAGTCGAGAATCGCTCTAGCAATATTCTCCGGCAAGTACACTGAGTCATTTTGGTGTTTGGAAGAGTTGACGAAGATCAGGAATTGTGAGAAGGAAGGCAAACTCGTGGCTATTCCCATCTTCTACAAGGTGGAGCCATCGACGGTTAGATATTTGATGGGAGAATTTGGTGATAGTTTTAGGAGTCTGCCTAAGGATGATGAGAAGAAAAAGGAGTGGGAGGAAGCTTTGAATGTTATTCCTGGTATAATGGGCATCATTGTCAATGAGAGAAGGTAACTGATTTTGCTCAAGTTGTTGAAAATTTACCAATAGCTCCATGCTGTAGAACACTAGTGATTACAATTGTAGAAAGATGTAAGAAACCTTTCATCGGACATCTGGAAGGTCATGATCTCATATTGTTCTTTAATTATTTTACTCACCCGTATTGCAGCTCCGAGAGCGAAATAATCAAAAAAATTGTGGAGGATGTTAAGAAAGTGCTGTACAAGTTTCCATCGGAGGAAAGCCAAAAGGCCTCTGTGGTTCCTTTAGAAAACAGTAACACTGTAACTTTCTCAGGAAAAGAAAAGCATAAGACTTTTGGAAACAAACAGCGTCTGAAGGATTTGGAAGAGAAGTTGGATGTTGATAGATACAAGGGAACTCGCATCATCGGAGTTGTAGGGATGCCCGGAATTGGTAAAACAACACTGCTGAAAGAGCTCTTCGACTTGTGGCAGCGTAAGTTTAACAGCCGGGCATTTATCGATCAAATCCGTGAAAACTCAAATGACCCTGGCTTGGATTCCCTGCCGCAAATGCTCTTAGGAGAGTTACTACCATCATTGAAAGATCCTGAGATAGATGATGATGAAGACCCCTACAGAAAGTACAAGGATCAACTGCTCGAACGGAGAGTTCTTGTGATTCTTGATGATGTTAGTAAAAGTGAACAAATAGACGCTCTTTTCCGGAGACGCGATTGGATTAGTGAAGGGAGCAGGATTGTCATTGCAACAAACGACATGTCCTTACTAAAGGGTCTGGTTCAGGATACTTACGTTGTCCGGCAATTGAACCACCAAGACGGCATGGATCTTTTTCACTATCATGCCTTTAATAGTAATAGAGCCACTCCTCCCAAGGGAGATTTCAACAAGATGTCAGAAGATTTCGTTCATTATGCAAAAGGCCATCCACTAGCTCTCAAAATATTGGGAATAGAACTTTGTGGGAAAGAAAGGACCACGTGGGAAGAAAAACTGAAGTTACTCGCTAAAAGTCCCAGCCCTTATATTGGAAGTGTCTTGCAAGTAAGTTATGAAGAATTGAGTCCAGGGCAAAAAGACGCCTTTCTCGACATAGCCTGTTTCAGATCGGAGGATGTGGATTATGTAGAAAGTTTACTGGCTTCATCTGACCTTGGATCTGCTGAAGCAATGAATGCAGTAAAAGCTCTCGCAGATAAGTGCCTGATTAATACTTGTGACGGCCGAGTGGAAATGCATGATCTACTCTATACATTTGCCAGGGAACTTGATTCTAAAGCATCCACTTGTAGCAGAGAACGGAGGCTGTGGCACCATAAAGAGCTTATCAGGGGAGGCGATGTTGATGTACTGCAAAATAAGATGGTGAGACCATAAGTTTCTCTAGCTTTTTATTGGTAAAAGCTTACTTTGTTTATCCTTGCTAATGTGTGTCCGTTATTGTTTTCATTCCTTACCAGAGAGCTGCCAATGTCAGAGGTATTTTCCTAGATTTGTCTGAAGTCAAAGGCGAAACAAGCTTAGACAAAGATCACTTCAAATGTATGACTAAACTTCGGTATCTCAAGTTCTACAATTCTCATTGTCCACACAAATGTAAAACCAATAATAAAATAAACATCCTTGATGGACTTATGCTGACATTGAAAGAGGTCCGATGCCTCCACTGGCTAAAATTCCCATTGGAGAAACTTCCAAACGATTTCTATCCAAATAATCTCGTCGACCTTAAGCTGCCCTACAGTGAGATTAAACAACTTTGGGAGGGTGACAAGGTGTGTTTTTGTAGCATGTTTGCGTTTTATCAACCTACGTAGTTTTTTCTGATTGTCGGGTAAATGTTTTGTTGCCACAGGATATACCAGTCTTAAAATGGGTCGATCTCAATCACTCAAGTAAGTTGTGCAGCTTGTCAGGATTATCAAAGGCTCAAAATCTTCAAGTGTTGAACCTTGAAGGGTGCACAAGTCTCAAATCTCTTGGAGATGTGAATTCGAAATCTCTTAAAACTCTCACCCTCAGCGGCTGCTCAAACTTCAAGGAATTTCCTTTAATTCCAGAAAATCTAGAAGCTTTATACTTGGACGGAACAGCAATAAGTCAACTTCCTGATAACTTGGTGAACCTCCAGAGACTTGTCTCATTGAATATGAAAGACTGTCAAAAGCTGAAGAATATCCCAACCTTTGTCGGTGAGCTGAAATCTCTTCAAAAACTGGTACTCTCTGGTTGTTTAAAGCTCAAGGAATTTTCAGAAATCAACAAGAGCTCTTTAAAATTTTTACTTCTGGATGGGACGTCCATCAAAACCATGCCACAGTTACCCTCAGTGCAGTATTTATGCTTAAGCAGAAATGATAATCTCAGCTACCTTCCAGCTGGCATCAATCAACTTTCTCAATTAACACGGCTGGATTTGAAGTATTGTAAGAAGCTTACATCTATTCCAGAGTTGCCACCAAATCTTCAGTACTTAGATGCACACGGCTGTAGCTCACTGAATACTGTCGCAAAACCGCTCGCCCGTATCATGCCGACCGTGCAGAACCGTTGCACTTTCAATTTCACCAACTGTGATAACCTGGAGCAAGCTGCAATGGATGAAATCACATCGTTTGCTCAAAGTAAATGCCAGTTTCTATCAGATGCTCGTAAACACTACAATGAGGTCTCTCTCTATATCTAATTCTCTCTCCATGTGGCTCTCTGTATCCCTCTCTTTAATTCTTATATAAAAAGGAAACTCCACAATTTATGATTTTCCTTTTCTATAATGTTGCAGGGTTTTAGTTCAGAGGCTTTGTTCACCACTTGCTTTCCTGGATGTGAGGTGCCTTCGTGGTTTTCTCATGAAGAAAGAGGATCTCTGATGCAACGAAAACTCCTCCCACATTGGCATGACAAGAGCCTTTCTGGGATAGCTCTATGTGCTGTAGTCTCATTTCCTGCTGGCCAAACTCAAATCAGCAGCTTCTCGGTGGCATGCACCTTTACGATAAAAGTTCAAGAAAAGTCTTGGATCCCCTTTACTTGCCAGGTAGGAAGTTGGGAGGGAGACAAGGAAGACAAGATTGAGTCAGATCATGTTTTTATAGCCTACATTACTTGCCCACATACGATAAGGTGTCTCGAAGATGAGAACTCTGATAAATGCAATTTTACTGAAGCCTCTCTTGAGTTTAATGTGACTGGTGGTACAAGTGAGATAGGAAAATTCACGGTGTTGAGGTGCGGCTTAAGTTTGGTTTATGCAAAAGATAACAACAGAAACAGTTCTCATGAAGCAAAGTATGATATGCCTGTTGAAGTAAACTTTCAAGAACCTCAACATGGGATGAAGGAGGAGAAAAGAAAACTAAAAGATAAAGAATTCATGATAGACGACCAAAGAAGAAACGGAAAAACAGAAGGTGTGAAAATGTCTAGTGACACTCATACTTGTGGTGCAAGTGTAACTCCAAGAATGGGAGATCTCCAAGCAAATGGTTGAAAATCTCCAAGGTGGAATGATCATGTTTCAGGTGAACCATATTCTTACACAAAACAGAAAACACCAAGGAGTAATTAATAAAGAAGACTGTACATTAGTAATTTCTTGATGGCGTATTTTTATAGAGGGATACATATGTCATGGGTGGAGCAAATCTTTCTGGAGCAGTTGGTGTTCTTTTTCCTATGTAATGCTAAAGCATCTGCTTCAGCCAAAAGACCCTTTTTGGCAGAGGGTTTTTGTTTACAAAAGCTTCTCTTTTACCATCAATTTACTTTATTTTGAATTCAGTGTTCACAAGATTTCATGTCAAGTTGCAGAGCAGAAAGGTAATCATTTATTAGAGATCTTAATTTGTTGTTGCCGGTTCAAGTTAATTTCATGGTCTTGTTTGGTTATCAATTCTTTGTAAGACTCTTTTTTACGGTTGAATAAAGAAATATTTTTTTCACAATTCTTTCTCAAACTGATAATCTGAAATGGTCATCTTTCTTTCGCGTGAACATTGTTCTAATCCATCTATTTCTGTCGAGCTCTGCAACCGTCGTTTGAAGTCTAGCTTCTATGTTGTCATCTTCCAGCTCTCAAACTGAAGTACAGGTAAGGTCTCTGTTCCATAAGAAAAACCTCTTTAAGTGTTCCATGTCCTCATCAATGTTTGGAAAACACTGCAGCCAGAGAGAATCAGTTATTGAAGAGATTTCAGTTTCAAAAGATGCCTTAACCAGCAATATTTCTTTAAATACAGATCAGCTAGGTATCTGAGGCTCTCTATGAATTCAGATTTTTTTTTTTTTTACCTTACTAGATAAAGAACTCAATCTTGTTTATTGGGGAAAATGTCCTTGAAGTTCAGTCTACCTACATTCCAGAACTGCAGTCTCTTATCGGGAGAGTACAAATCTAAACAGTTTTTTCAAGAGTATTGAGAAATCTAGGATTACGCTTTTGATCTTCTCGGTCATGTACACTGATTCATATTGGCGCTTGGCTGAGCTTGTGAAGATCATGGAACGCGCAGATAAGGAAAAACTTGTGGTCATGATTCCCATCTTCTAGAACGTGGACACGGACGATGTTAAATCCCTGAAGGGTGTGTTTGGTGACAATGGATGGACTCTGATTCCAGGACGAGCATTGACATTGTGTTGCAGGAAAATCCACCACTACCGCTGTCAAGTGTCAACTAAAAACCCTTGTTAACATTTTCGAATAATGGAAAATTTTGTTTGGTACTTCAGTTTATTCTAATGCTTTTCCTATGCAGAGATCAGTATATACTTGCTGATGAGGTTGTACGGAATGCCTGGTTAAGGCGATTCTTGAAAATAAGCAAGAATATGATCAGAATCCTTGCTACTATTATATATCTGCAAGATTTCCATCTAATGTGTCAGAAGAAAGGGCTGAAGTAGTGGCCTGATGATTTCTTAATATTTGGGGAAGAAAAGCTTGTTATAGATTCTTGTGATACAAAACAAAGTTTCATAAAGAGCATGTTCCAGAAGAAAACATGTTTTGGTTGGTTTTCTTATGAACAAAATCCACTTGCGGAAAAGTTTATTTGAAACCCGAGAAAAATAATCTGCTTATACGTATAAACTAGATTTTAACCCGCGGTACACCGCGGGGCTATATTTTCTTAAAAAAATCAAAATGTAATTTGTTTGATAGATTATTTTGATTGTTAATTTTAGGATTTCACCCGTGGTATAGTATCTTTTATAAATATCAACCCAAACCCGTCCCATCATATTACCCGTCCCGTGAAATTAAACATCATTTAGTTATTTTTCTTTTTAATAATACTTTTATTTAAAAGCTATATAATTCAAGTCAATTTAAAAATTTCTTTTAAATGGTTCCCATAAGATATATATACATATATATTAAATTTGTATAGAGTTGAAAAATATTAATATTACAAACTTTTTATATAATTTAAATATTATAAATATTTTTAAAAATATGCAATATATATTTTTTGTTATTGAATAAGAGGATATTATGTGTAAGAAATGTAGAAAATAAGAGTTTAATATTTTTTATTATGGAGTCGCAAGAAAAATCTTTTATTTCTATACATGTTATTCGTTTATTAATAATAAAAGAAAACAAATCCTTTAAATTAGATATTAACTAAAATAAACGCACCATAATTACTTATTAAGTAACAACCAATAAATTTCACCAAAAAATAGGTAACAACCAATAAATTCTAAACGCAGTAATTAAAGAATGAGATATTAAAAAAAATATCAAATAAGATATAAGAATCTTAAAATAATTGAATATCTAAATAATTTAATTGTTAGTGTCGATTTTAATGCCTTCATTAATGTGGATTTTTTTTTTACAGAGAAATATTTCCTAAAGATTATCACATTAATGACTCAGAAAATTAAGGAAGATATGAATTTATGATTCTCGAAATCGTGTTGGTAATATCTTTAATTAATATTTTTCAAATTTAAATAATTAATACCAATGGCATTCATCCGTAAATACATTCCAACTCCAGGATTTATTTGCTAAAAGTCATCCAAAAATGTATATATAGATGATGGAATTCTCTTATTTTACTTGTTCGTTACTAATAATCCAAGTTTCTTATAAGGAATGATATATAGAAAGATAATCCTATGCAATCCATTTTCTTCTCTTCTAACCTGATCCAATATTCTTCTCCATTCATATAATGACTTGGTCCGTTGGACGAATTGTGACACCTTTGACCAAGAGCCCACTCTTCCGGTTAGAGTACTCATATTGATGCAAAGAGAAGAAGATCTCCACCACGTTCTCTGGCAGTGCCTCAAACTCTCCAGCTTGAATATCAACCCAATTGTTGTATATGTAGTCATTTAAACACAAAGTCGACTCTTGTATACTCTGGCTTCCATCGCGATGTTTCAGCTTCAAATTTAGGGTCACTGGCTCCTCCCACCCGGATGCTGTATCATCTAAGTATATCATAAACACCACCTTGTACTTTGTTCCTGGAGTTAGTTCCCTCGTGACAAAATATCCCTTTATTTGTAGCCAGTATATTTTATTCAGCATTGCGATTTCAATGTCTGCTTCACTGAAACATAATCAAACCTTATTTTAGTTTATAGTTTAACCTTAACCCCTCTAGTGAAAAAACAAAATTTCCAACTTGCATTATACATTTTTTTCTTTATGATTTTGAGTAAAATGTAATAGCTTACCTTTGTACATAACCCCATGTCCATAAATTAGGATTCTCGGAATGAGTGATATCGAGGCGCCTTGCAGGGACAACAAACACAACTCCTTGACTAATTACTTCTCTTGATGGTTTTCCCTTAATTCGGATCCTCGCCATTAAATCTTTAACCTCTTTGACCATCGATTTTATGAATTCTTCATCAGAGCTATCACTGTCATATGATAGAAGTGAGAGAACTACGAAACACCCTATTTTGACATCTAAACGAATTTTAACAACTCATGCAAACTATTTGAAGCAATGACTTAAATTAACGTACCAATATGTAATATTGTATTCTCCTATGGATGATATGTCGGTTAAAGCTCGGCGCCATTGTTGTTTCTCATCCTCTGTTTTGTTCTTGCAAGTTTCTTCGAATCGCCTTCCAAATTCTCCCGTCTGTTCCCTAACATCCAAGGGATCCAAATCGGGGTGGAAAATTGGTATCACCATATGACTCACGTCTTCATTGCTCTTAGCAGTCTCCACCAATTCGTTCAGGAGCCAGCTTGAAGAGGCATAATTGATCGTAAACAAGATGATTGAGATCGTCGATCGAGACTCCGGTACCTCTTGTGTTATTTTTATCCCATATCTTTTGGATGAAGGGATTACGTTTTTTCTAAGAGCTGCAATCAAGTAGTCGAGGAAGTTTATCTGAATATCTTGTCTGCTGTACCTCAGGAAAACATTACATTTCTGATTGTGAGGCGAAGAAAGACCCATAGAGGCAATCTTTCCAAAGTCTTTTGAGCTACCAGGCAGCATAGATTCTGTATGCAAGATTTCTTTACCCATTCGTCGTGGCAAAGAATCCATAACTATTTCCCGATTAGATGATACACGTATGAGAGACCTATCGGCTAAGACCTTGATCCCAGAGCTAACATCCATGTCAATGTTGGCAATAAGTGGTGCCACCAAATCAACATCCTCGTCATTGAACAAACATGCCATGTAAAGAAATAGAACTTTATCCATCTCCTGTAAACCATCATAGCTGGTTCTTGAAATTTCTTCAACTTTTTTACTATGCCAAAAAGAATTTGATGAACTCATCTTAAGACTTGTTTCGCCAGTTGCAGCATCAATTGCAGAGACTCCACATCTTTTCACTGTGCAACTATCATCTACACGCCGCTTCTTCTGCCTGTCGACAGGAAAGAATTCAAACACAACTAAATCAGCGAATATATCCGGCTCATATCCTTCATCGGTACTTGGACGCATTTTGACATCAAAGAAGACAAACATATGATCCTTTTGAAATTTTGGAACAGCTTCCCCTGTAGCCCAACAATGCAAATTTCTTTCTATACTCTGAGAGCGGCCTGCCATGTTCTTCCATCTGCAAACACAACGTATGCCTAAACCAGTAACATCACTGTAAGCCTCTGAAAATGAAACTTCCACCAGCATAGCAAAACCCACAAGCGTGTTTCTCCAAGAAGGATTTAGTTGTGTCATCACAGAAGATCCTGGTTGCAGATAAGGTGTAAACTTTTGGTCCGCGTGTGAGGGCGCACAGAAGCTAAAAGCCAGAGGTTTGTTGAGTTCCTGTTAGAAGATACAAAATAAGTCAAATATGATATGAGTGAGGGAGGGAGAGTATAAAGAGAGAGGGAGAGAGAGAATTACCTTCTGATGCTCTCTTGGCATTTGTTTTACATAAGCCAGTGCTTTCACCAAAAAACTATTGACCACTTGTGGAGAGAGTTTAAAACAATTAGTGAATGTG